TGGCCAGTGACGGGTCCAAGTTTTACTGCAGGTAGGCGCCCAGGGCACCGGGTGGGTGGAAGGGAAGGCAGGCCCCAGCTCGGCGGCGTGCGTGGCACAGCCGGCCCGCCCCAGGAGCAGCGCGTCCCGCTTGCCCGGCTGAGGGGGCATGGCGGGCCATGCGTGCGTGGGACCCAATGCTCTCCCAGCGTGGTGGGCACAGCTCGGGGTCCGCACTAACCACGTTAGCATAAGTAATTTCCCCCATCTCGGCCTTCATTTTTTTTCTCAGCCGAGCGTGGAAGGATGTAGGATTTAACGAGGGTCCAACAGGGGCCGGTGCTGAGGTAAGCTGGAAGCTAAAGCCACGCTTGAGACTGGTGGCCATCACCAGCTAAGGGAACCAACTGGGAGGGTCGCTGAGAGCCTGTAGCCCACACCTCACATGGAGAGCCCCTTTGGCAGAGAGAAAGAAACCCCACCATGTTGCCATCTGCCCTATTCTGTGCAGTAATCTGTGCAGAAAAACTCAGGTTTGGAGAAGGTAGGGATGCAGACTGACTATTTCAGACAGAAACTTGAGTGTAGTATGCACTTCTACATAGTTGGCATTGTGCAAGGTGGTCACATTACACTACTGGTTTGCAGTCTTTATGCCCCTTCTCTGCCACTTCTTCCCTCCTTGATTTGTGCTGCCTTCCTCTTTGCCCAAATATTAGCATTTAGGCTTTTGCTTTTTCACATTGTCCCATCCATCTATCTTCAGGCTGGTTCAGCTTGGTTCAGCTTGCTTTGCACAGAAACTGTGGTGCAAAAGCTTTATTTTTACAGTGCCTTGCTTTTAATGGTGGTGCATCCTACTAGTGGGGCAGGACTCAGCCTGTGCAGAACTATGGACAAGGGTCTTTTCTTTCCTTCAGGTACCTGGTTCATTCCTTACCCATATTTGGACAGATCTTACAGACGGTGGCCTAGTTTATTACAAAATCTTGATTTGTTCTTCCCACTTGTATAATTTAATAAAAAATCAATAGAGGATAATTCTACATTTAACAGTACCATTTTACTTGCTTTTTTTGCCTGTTGAAGTGACTGATTTTGGCACACAAATATTGCCCTCTGGCTTTTCTGCTACATGCTGCAAAGTCACCATTCAGCGTAGGTCCCATACAGTGGACACCTCCTCTGACCAGAAGCTGGCCCAATCACTGAATATCTAAACTGAACAGAGCAGTCAGTGAGCATACAGTCCTGTAGTCAACGTTGCCCAGTTGCTCCAGTACACCCATGCACGCTCTGTCCATCCCATCCTACGGTGATGGGAACTGCTGAAGACATTTTCGCTTCCTAGCAGTGAGTTGGCCCCAGCACTCCTCCTTCCTGCAGTGGCACCTTGTTTCTGGCATACAGTGTATATGTATGTTTTTTTAATAAATTAGGTTTTTTACTTGGTTTTTTGATTTCAAAAGGAGGTTGCCCCTTACACATCAAGATTTGACCTTAAATTAATTATAAATGTAGCAGAAAAATAGTGTTAGTACTTTATATTCTTGCACTCCAACCATTCTTGTGCTCTAATAATCTAATGTATGTTTTTACTGACTGCTAATTTAAAGTTATTTTTAGATACAAAAATAAATTCACTGTTATCCACTCACAATTCTTTTTAATAGTCGGACACAAAATGAAGGTCATCCGAAATGGTTCGTTCTGGGTGTTGGACAAGTCATAAAAGGGTTAGACATTGCTATGATGAATATGTGTCCTGGAGAAAAACGGAAAGTCATCATTCCTCCGTCATTAGCATACGGACAGCAAGGATATGGTAAAAAAGAAGTTTTCATCCTAAACTTTGGCTTTCCTCTGTTTTGCTCTTTCAAACATATAATGTTGTAAATGACTGTAAAAATTGGTGCTCCATTATTTTTGGAGGCTCTGAAGGTGATGACTGCAGCTCTGCAGCCTAATCCTGCTCATTCCTTTGCAGTTTAAGTCATCCTCACCATAGACACCCAGGCCTTGCAGTTTGCGTTTAGAATTCAGTACATGGCACCCGATGTGTTTTTCCAAGTATTGCCATAATACAAAAAATTGACAGCAAAAGGAAGATCTTCATAATTCATATCAGCATTTTTTTGTCTTAATCTATTATATTCTACTCATGTTTAGTTTCTATTATTTGACTCCTACCTGCTTAGCCATTTAATGACATTCTGCGTGTTCTGAGCAAAGTGAAATGTAATCCAGTGCATGCCACAAATTAATCTAAGTAGAAATAATTTGTTAAAAATACTGTTTACATTCTGAATAGTTAATGGACAGTATCATCATGTCACGTAATAATTGCAACAGTACAATGCATGAAATCTGATTTGAATTTATGATGCTTAAGGGTGCAGTCTACTTGGGGAAAAAAAAGTTCCAGTCAGAATTTCATCACTCTTAATTGTAGGTAACTTAAGTTCAGCTCTGACTTTGGTGTAGTAGTTTCTGTGAAAAGGTAGCTCCTGCTCGATAATAATTGTCTGTTGGTGATAGTATGTCAGAGTTCTATGCACCAGTTTTGTTTTTCATATAATTCCATTGTAGCCAGTGAAATTTACTAGGAATAAATTTTTCCCCTTGAGCATAATGTTTAATAAGAAGTCAGTCTCAACAACAAGGAAGAACACTGACACAAATAAGAGTATGTTCTTTAACTCTAATACTAGTGTCAACTGTTTGTTCTAGGTAGCACTTCAAGAAAGTATTATTTTCCTACAGCATACTTGTCCTCTGTCTCAGCGTATTCCTGCATGCAGGAGAAGATGCCTGCCTAATCTTGAATTAGAAAAGATGCATGTGGCTTTCTAAATCTTTACATATCTTTCCTTTGTTGGTATGTATATTTGTGAACTACTGGCACTGAATTCTAGTATTGTATCTTTCTTTCATAAGTAGTATACAAACCATGATTTATATTCAAGATACATTTAAAACACCTACATTTTTACAGCTTGTAAGGTCAAAATCTTTTGAATTCTGAAAACTGTCATTTTTACTATGGATATTTTAGATAAGTAGTGTGAGTAATAGTTTTGTTTACCTTCTGTTTACAAACAAAGTAGATTCTTTAGTTTTTCTTCAGTTTATGAAGGACAGGCACAAGCTCAAAATTCTGTGAAAATTCTGAGGCTACAATGTCATGCTCACTGGCTCTGGCTATGAATAGAAGCAACTTGCATGTTTACATTTTAATTTTACACTGCATGATTTCTTGATGCTTTTTTGGCTTTACTTTCAGACCTCATGAGTTTGTTACTGTCTCCCTTCAGTTCCTTTTTTTTCGCCAGATGCTTCATAGAATGACCTGTTTACAGGCAGTGGTGTTTTTACATCAGATATCAGAAAATGATTTGACAAAGGAATAATGAAGTCTAACATACATGTTTTTTTTTCCTCCAGGGACCAGACAAAATATTCCAGTAGGTTTTGGTTTTGGGGGTTTTTTTGTTGGTGGTTTTTTTTTTGTGTGTGTGAATCAGATGACCTACATTCTGTTACTTCTTTCTAATGAGATGTATATTTTAACCACTATTTTACATAAAGTCCTTTAACCATAGGTATAATTCATAGTAAGTTGTTAAAACCTCATTTTGCCTTCTTGTTTCTTCAGACAGAAGAAAACCAGAAAATCTTCAGACAGATACAAGCATTGGCCTATTACTATAATCTTTTAAATCAGAGTGCAGATATTTAATAAAGGCATATGTCTTAGAATCAGTCTCTCAATAAGCCCCACCATATGACAGTATGTAAAAGAGTGAGAACTTCAGAAATACATGTTTTTCATGGTAACACAAACCCTTCTCTTAATTTTTAAAAGTACCTGAATTGGTATGAGCAATATAATTTTGTTTCAGGAAAATATATTGTTTGCAAATCTCTCTCAAAATCATTTATGTAACACAATCTGAACAATCTTCCTGTCTAGCTGTATAATATTTAAATTCAGAGTTTAATCCGAGTATTAACACAGCCTTTTGTAATTAAAAAATAAGACACGTTACATGTGAGTTTGTCATATGTGTGATCTCTGACCACAGTGTCTGCTTTAAATGCGCGCTTTTTTTTTCCTTTTATTCATAGCACAGGGCAAGATTCCACCCAATGCAACATTGATCTTTGAGATTGAACTTTATGCAGTAAACAAGGGACCTCGCAGTGTTGAAGCATTTAAGCAAATAGACAAGGATGGTGACAAGAAACTCTCTGAACTTGAGGTAATATGATGTAACTAATTTGGAATAAATAATTTGTAAAACTATAGGTGTGGTTGCATCAGTGTTATCTTCACATAAGCTGCCTCTGCTGCAGTTCATCGCGTAAAGCTTCTCTATGCTTACACAAACTACACTGTGCAACGTTGAAATTTGGTTTAATACGTTAGTGTGTCTCAGACTTGCTGGGACTTCAGACATGTCTGCACTGGAGTCACAATAACTTACATATATACTCCGAGTATCCTTGAAGATAGCTGTTGAGTATTGGCATAAAAGCCACAATGGTGGGACTTTTTTCTTTTCTTCTAGATAAGCCAGTATTTGAAAGAAGAATTTGCAAGAGATGGCAAAAAACGTCATCCCTCAGTCCATGATGAAATCTTAGCTGATATATTTAAGAAGAATGACCATGATGGAGATGGTTTCATATCAGCAAAGGAGTACAATGTCTACCAGCATGATGAACTCTAAGTTCTTAAAAAATCTTTGGTTGTTTTCTGGACACTGAATTTTAAATAATGATACTTTGTTACAGAATTTTTTGGGTTTTTTTTATAGTGGCATCTTTTTATATCTCTTAAGGTGACTGTAAAAGTCTGGGGTTTAACACTCAACTAATAAAATGTGTTAGATATTTCAGAAGAAAGAAATAAAATTGGAAAACACCATGATATATTATTAGTGGTTCCTGCATCCTGTCATTACCTACAGTATTGCTCAGTAGTCTTCCTTGTTGTGTAAAATACTGATGAAAATAATTATTTCTGTTCTGTCAAGCACACAAAAATGGTTCCAGTACCTGTTGACATAGTTAGAACATAACTGATGAATACTTCTCAATCCCTTGTAAAATAAAAGGGGAAAACAGAATCTCAGGGAGGTAACTCTGTTAAACCTCTGCAGGCTTCTAGGCTAGCTTCTTGAGGAATTGCCATTTGCAGCAAATTTAACTATAAAAGGCCTTAAAATAAATGAACACTGTCTATGGAACATCGGGATAAAAACACAAATGTTTTAAAAGCAACTTAAAATCATCTCTTTGATGTAATATTATCATGAATAATTTGGTGTTCATGAAGAAGCGGTATTTTAAACTTTAATTTAGTAAAATTAGTAAATTAGCCAGTTTATTCAGCAACACCAAGTTAAAAATCTACACTATCATGATTTTCCTGGATGAAGTGGAAGATGATGGGAGATACTCTATATAAACCTAAGTAATTATTTGGGCATCATTCTGGTTTCCCTCACTTTGGAAAGATGCAAAGTAGCAATAGTTAATAAATAGACAGTACTTCAGGCTAGTTAATTGTTCTGTTCATGCAGATGTCATCATAACGCTTGTGTAACATACTCTTCCCACGTGAAAGCAATGGCTGTATTCATTTCAGCATGTAACAATCAGCTGTACACAGTGAAAGTGGCAGCAAAAGTAAAAAAGCTTCCATACCTGGGTTATCCTTAAAATCATTCTAAAAGGTAGAAAAAACATCTCTTAATTGCTTTCCCAATTTAAAATAGCATGAGGAGAGCTTCAATGGTATGCCACCCAACAGCACTCCCAGTCAGTGCTGGACACAATTCTGTAGTGCTCTCTAGTGTTCATATTCTTAACAACACAGACTTAGGTTTCTGTGGTTGAGGTCTACCGGTTAAAGACCTTCACCTCTGAAGTCTTGTTGGAAGGATGTAGTTCTGTTATTTTCATAAGCTTCCAAAACCTTTTCTGCTAAGCATTTTTCTTCTGAACACATAAAGTCAGGTGCAGCTGTGACCTAAAATCCAAATGCAGAAGGTGGACCGGCTGGTACTTATTCGTACTCCAAACAAACTGTTGATGTGAGGTAATGGCATCCTAATATGAAATACCTATCCCTAGTTTTACTTGGTCCCTTTTGTAAATGAAACATTAGACTGAGCTAAGTTTTAGCATGTTTTTTAATCTGATACTTCAATTGAAACATTCATGAGAACACTAAATTATTAACAAATATTCTCATCTTACCATCATATGCCAGTGTAAATAAAGGCACCATTTTGGTGTTTAACAACAAGTTTGTGTAAACAACTTAATTTAAGTTCCAGCATGTATTTTTGAAATTATGAACATTATGAAAAAATCAGTTTAAAAGTACATTTTTGCATTATCGTGATAATGAATGGTGAAGTTTCTAGAAAGAGGAAAAGCAATGTCAGGGAATGCACGGGGGCATTTTCAAGTAAAAGGTCATTGACCGTGAAGAAAATAATTTGAAGATAATAGTGTCATCAAATGTTTTGCACTTTCACTATTTTGCATTTCAACAATTTGAGTCATAGGTACTAATTCTGAAAACTTTGTGGCACAGTTATGCCCATGGCTGCGACAACAGGCACTTACCTAGCTCAGTTACTTTACTCTTTTATGCCAGAGGTCAAAACAGGGCACAGCATGCAGTCGTACGTACTTTTGTCCATTAAAAGAGCACTCTAGGCATCCGTAGACTGTCTCCCTTTTAGAACTTCCCATTCCACAAAGGACACAGGGACCTTTGGGGATGTTGTTATTAAGTAAATTAATTCGGATATGAGACCCTTCTCTGAGATAGCTTGTAGAGAGATCAGTCATGCTCGCAGCCTTTTCATAATAATCTGTAAAAAGGTCCTCCAAGTAAGCATCAGAGTTAGCAAGGGTATCCACTGCTCTTTTATCTGAAAAAGAACACACAAAAAAATAGCAGCAATGATTTATTACATTATGAACTGTTTACAAAACAGTCTGTCAATCTAATTACGGAACTAACTGATTCATGAAACCATTCTAAACATGCCATGTTGTAGATTACTTCCCATCAAACGCCCTGTGCGATAAAAATTTTTCTTTAATTTCACAAAAGGCACTGAAAAAAGCCAGAAATTTTTGTATATGGCCTATATAATTATATTTTTAGAAATGCACCTGAAAGATAGGCATTAGGCAAGCTTTTTAAAAATTGGTACCAAACTGAATCACAGATGCGTACTTTCCTGTTTACTTTTGCATTTCTAGTTTTATTTTCTAAAAACTGTAAATTGTTTTGCAGTGTTTACAAAAAAGCCACGAATATTTAAAAGGTTTAGAAAATTTGGAGGACTCTATGTTGACCTCCTAGAGATTGCTGAGCATCCAGACACCCCAGGAAGAAATCACTTTTGGAACTACCTACCTTTTTCCTCTCTCTTCATGACTGATTATTTTAGATTGGATGACAAAGTTTTAGTCAGCTACAGCTACTGAGAAACAGCATACCCACTGAAGATTTATTCCCTTGTTGTGGACTAGAGCAGCACTGAAGGCTTTGTCCATAAAAGCCCTTTGGTCAAGAACGGGATACAGTGGAGCAGGGACATCTACACAGAGCAGCCTTTAGAAGGACGTGTTTACTGCTCAACATTTATCTTCACACGCAGATTTGCAGATTTCCAAAATGCTTAGACCAAGGAGTGTTAAAAGCCTAGGATATTGTTCTGAAGAAAATATAGCTACATACATTGATACTCCATTTTGTTGGATGTTGTGTTCACACCAGAACAACAAAAGATGGTATATGGTGATATCTTGCCCATGTCTCTGCCATGTGAACTTACAGCCTAGAGTACATTCCAATATTTAAATTAATATTGTTTGATATTTAAAGTTTGCCTTGAAATATTATTTATACATTATAACTTGTATTGCATAACACTAGCTGTAAATGGAAACATATGAAATAGGCTTAGTGTCAACTGAAGTTAATTGTATAATTACTCCATTCCAGTTTATCATCAGCCATAAATTTTTATTTTAAGATCTTCAGTTTTAATAACAGCAATACCGTAATTTTGTTACTTGTGAAAGAGTAAATTCTCAAATACAGATTTTAGTAACTTTACAGTCATTTCAATATACAAGAAATTGAGGTACACTTTCCATCAAAATTTCCTTCTTTAAATGTTCGTCTTGCACACAAATTAAAGAAACAGAACTACATTCTTCATGCATTAACTAAGACATTTGGATATAAATATCAAAGGTCATACTTCGATGAAACAGATTACTCTTTAACCTCCTTAATTTGATCAGTGAAGATGATCCAGATTTCTCTTTTTCAAATCCTCCTTTTGAAACTGGAGTCACACAGAGTTCTGTAAAAATTAAAAATAAATTTTTAGAACAAAATCCAAAAGCAATAATTGCACAACAGGGTTTAATATGCTTCCTAATCACTAAAGTTTGCAGTGATTAAATTCAGCTTTGCTAATATTTTTAATGGCTTGTACTACTTTTTAATACAAGTCTACATATACTGATACACCACATACGGTAATGATGTATCAGACTGAAATCCTCAACAGAAAAAAAAAATGTTAGCTTAGTTTAGAAATTCTGCACACTTTCTTCTTTACTTGGGTCTTTTTACATGACTATTTTATGCAAAACTGATCAGATGGTCTCATAAGCCTGTTCCTTACAGGCTAGAAATACAAGGAGGTGATTTTTTTGTTCCATGCAACTATGGGATGTAAGAAAAATTACAAGATCATGCTTAACTTTTAAAAAATGTTTCCACGACAGACTATTTTCTAGTACCTGCCTTGTTTATCTTTTTTCAAGAATCGTTTCCCCTAGAAAGTCAGACTACTTATGTGCATAAAATCAAAGCATAGCATTGTATGGAATCAATGCTTATGTGTATCAAGAGCAAGAAAACTGTTTTAAAATCTCAGACTGTTATAAATAATAGCAGTAATGACAATAATGCACACCACTTACCAAAATTACCATCCAAATGAATATAGAGTTCAAATACACTAAAAGCAATAGTTGTATGTGCTGGAAAAACAATGGCTTTGTCCCGCCCTTTATAATTCTGATCTTCAATAATGTGAAACTATAATTTAGAAAAACATCAAAAGAAAAAAAGTTACAAATTGAAATGGAAAAAAAAAAAAAATATCCTAACTGTATATATTGAACATTGTAATGCCAGGAGGAAGCTTTGAAATTGAAGATCAAATTTCACAACTAAAGAATTTTATATTAACAACTTTACATTTTAATAAAGTTTGATACAGAGATAGTAACTTAACTTGCATCACTCATTGAAAATGATCTGAATTATTTATAAATACTAGTAACGGGCAAGCCTCAGAAGATTTGTAGGTTCAATTACTGAAGCACTGAAGAGAGAAAGGGAGAGGGAGGAAGAACATAAGACAGGAAGATGCCGACCCTTGAAATAACAACAACCTGAAGTTCCAATATGTTGTAGAAGATGAATGTAATAATGAAAGATAGGTTATACGTTTATTGGAGACTCAAACTAAGAAGTAGTAAATTCCACATTTTTGCCAAGCCTTCACCCAAAGCAATGGCTCGTTGCCTAGCCACCCTTTCACGTACATCCCATCCCTCAGTCACATACTCAATACTAACAAAAGACAAACATTTAGTTCGGTTTACATCAGTGCAATAATATTGATTCACTTCAATTTTTTTCTGAGCTCTCATCAGCAAAAAAGCAATTAAATCCAACCATAACATTTACAAAAATGAGCTTTTTTGTGTTGTTCATTTAAGTTACAGAACTTTGTCAAACATAGTTACCCTCATTGTCTCTCCACGCATTCCAGTATGGACAGTTAAGGAGCACTGCCTTGTTGTTCTAA